TCCAAGGCTTTGGCATAGTCAATAAAGCAGAAATAGATGTCTTTCTGGAACTCTCTTGCTTTTTCGATGATCCAGCAGATATTGGCAATTTGATCTCTGGTTCCTCTGCCTTTTTGAAAACGAGCTTGAACATCTGGAAGTTCTCGGTTCACGTACTATTGCTGAAGCATGGCTTGGAGAATTTTGAGCAATACTTTACTAGAGTGTGAGATGAGTGCAATTATGCGGTAGTTTGAGCATTCTTTGGGATTGCCTTTCCTAGGGATTGGAATGAACACTGACCTTTTCCAGTCCTGTGGCCACTGCTGAGTTTTCCAAATTTGCTGGCATATTGAATGCAGCTCTTTCACAGCATCATCTTTCAGGATTTGAAATAGCTCAACGGGAATTCCATCACATCCACTAGCTTTGTTCATAGTGATGCTTTCTAAGGCCCACTTGACTTCACATTCCAGGATGTCTGGCTCTAGGTGAGTGATCGATCACACCATTGTGATTGACAAACCCTTTTTTTCCATTAGAACTTTTTTTTATCTAAATGTTTATTTAGATAAAAGTTTATTTACAAAAATAAAATTAAGTGGCTGTGATCTATTAATACTTAAAAGTTAAGAATATGATCAAGCACAGCAAAGAAAGAATCACACAAAAGAATAATCCTCATGTAATAAAAGATTCAGCTTTTATGGAGTATTTAAAGTCTGATTTTCTTTAGAACAATAGATCAGTTTAATTTTTTATTAAAAACGTTCTACATTATCTAACATCTAAATCAGTCCTAGCACTATTCTCCAGGAAAAAATATTAATAAATATGTCACCATCAAGATTTACCTTTATATCTATATCTGTGTGTATGGTGTGCTGTCACTTCAGTCGTGTCCAACTCTATGTGACATTATGGACTGTAGCTCCCCAGCCTCTTCTGTCCATGGGATTTTTCAGGTAAGAAAACTGAAATGGGTTGCCGTGCCCTCCTCCAGGGGATCTTCCCAACCCAGGGATTGAACTCACATATCTTCCAACTCCTGCATTGGCAGGTGGGTTCTTTACCCCTAGAGCATCTGAGAAGTCCATATCTATCTATATAGATACACACAGTGTGTGTGTGTGGGCTTCCCTGGTAGCTCAGTGGTAAAGAATCTGCCTGCAGTGTAGGAGACCAGGGTTCAATCTCTGGGTTGGGAAGATCCTCTGGAGAAGGAACTGGCTCCCCATTCCCATATTCTTGCCTGGAGGGTTCCATGGAGAGAGGAGCCTGGCAGGCTACAGTCCATCACACAGAGTCAGATAAGAGTGAAGGGACACAGCAGCAGTGTGAGTGTGTGTGTGTGCATATAAATTATATACACACATATTATATTTCATTATAAAAATAATAGTTCTCCATTTTATTGGCATAGAGCTTCTGGTAGTAGTCTCTTATGATCCTTTGTATTTCAGTGTTGTCTGTTGTGATCTCTCCATTTTCGTTTCTAATTTTGTTGATTTGGTTCTTCTCCCTTTGTTTCTTAATGAGTCTTGCTAATGGTTTGTCAATTTTGTTAATTTTTTCAAAAAACCAGCTTTTAGCTTTGTTGATTTTTGCTATGATCTCTTTAGTTTCTTTTGCATTTATTTCTGCCCTAATTTTTAAGATTTCTTTCCTTCTACTAACCCTGGGGTTCTTCATTTCTTCCTTCTCTAGTTGCTTTAGGTGTAGAGTTAGGTTATTTATTTGACTTTTTTCTTGTTTCTTGAGGTAGGCCTGTAATGCTATGAATCTTCCCCTTAGCACTGCTTTTACAGTGTCCCATAGGTTTTGGGTTGTTGTGTTTTCATTTTCATTCATTTCTATGCATATTTTGATTTCTCAATACCACTTCTAGGCATACACACTGAGGAAACCAGATCTGAAAGAGACACGTGCACCCCAATGTTCATCGCAGCACTGTTTATAATAGCCAGGACATGGAAGCAACCTAGATGCCCATCAGCAGACGAATGGATGAGGAAGCTGTGGTACATATACACCATGGAATATTACTCAGCCATTAAAAAGAATTCATTTGAATCAGTTCTAATGAGATGGATGAAACTGGAGCCCATTATACAGAGCGAAGTAAGCCAGAAAGATAAAGACCATTACAGTATACTAACACATATATATGGAATTTAGAAAGATGGTAACGATAACCCTATATGCAAAAAAAGAAAAAGAGACTCAGATGTATAGAACAGACTTGTGGACTCTGTGGGAGAAGGCGAGGGTGGGATGTTTCAAGAGAACAGCATTGAAACATGTATATCTAGGGTGAAACAGATCACCAGCCCAGGTTGGATGCATGAGACAAGTGCTCGGGCCTGGTGCACTGGGAAGACCCAGAGGGATAGGGCGGAGAGGGAGGTGGGAGGGGGGACCGGGATGGGGAATACATGTAAACCCATGGCTAATTCATTTCAATGTATGACAAAAACCACTGCAATGTTGTAAAGTAATTAGCCTCCAACTAATAAAAATAAATGGAAAAAATAAATAAATAAATAATAGTTCTCTGATGACTCTCACATAGAACTAAGAAGGTGGGGTCAACTACACTGTTAAACTTTAAGGACGAAAAACATTAAACAAGTGGCAGATTAGACTGAAGAAATGCTTCTCTGATTTGTGTGCAAATATATCCATTTTTTTTAAAAAGCTAGATGTGATCTTAGTCATGCTTTAGTTCAGAAGGTGCATGTATTTTTCTTTCACCCTTTCATGTATATTTTCTTTCACCCAGAATGTCCAGGTTAGAAAAGAAAGAAAGAAACAGACCAGCCCAGATATAAAATGTATTCTCTGGTTATAGAAAGTCCCTGCTACCCACTCACCATACAGTCTGGACTCACATGGCACTGGATTTTGTGACTTTGATATAGGAAGTCCACCATATAACAGGTAAAAAAAGAAATCAAAGCCTGAAAAATAGTTAATTATCCAAAGCATATACATAATGTTATTGTTATTATTATAAGTGGTATTTTATAAAATGTTAATAATATATAAATGGATGTTTTAATCAATATTTGACATTTATATTGTAATATGTAAGTTCCAGTCCAAAGTATTTCAATTGAAATATTTGACATTATTTTCACATAATTTCAGCTGGTCTATCCAGTTTGTTAGATTTTTTAAATCCATTCACATGAATGTTTTCTAAATTTTTACAGGCACCTCAGAATTCATTTACCTCCTCATATAATAGGATTGCCTTTTTTATCATTATAAAAGGGATAAAATACTAAAAAATATAAGCAAGCAGACAGAATTCCAAAAAATATATATTAATAGATAGAGGAAAGGAGGGCTTCTTTTTTGTTGTCATTTTTAATAAAGAGGTTTTAAAAGAATCCTCACTAAATTTCAGAAACCTCATCTAAAAAGCCAGTTTCTCGATTTCTATTAGTAAAGAATCAAGCAATCAAAAAATCTACATTGCAGGCAAAAATAGCTTATTTGTATCACATTAACAAGTAGTGGGAAAAGGATATTTCTCTTCACTTTTTAGGTATTCAATAACAGACCATAAAATATCAAAGGATTTATAAATTGGCATCTCTGTAAATCATGTATGTCTCCTGAACAAATATGCTTTAAATAAAAACAAACAACTTTAACATAATAAGATCTGTGCAGACCATCTTTTACTACCCCAGGTGCTCAGAATATTCATAATGCAGCAAATGGAGCACTCTGTTTTCACACTTAAATTTAGTTTATCTGAACCAGCATATCAGACTGGCTGTCAGCAGAAGAGATCCTCAGACATTAATGTTCTTGGTGCTGCATTAACACTTAAAACGAGAAACGTAAGAGCTTATATGTGACATGTCAAAACTGCTTTGGAATGAATTCCTACAATAGACAATAAAAAACCCAAATGACAGTACTAAAAAGACAGGTGTATTTGGGGGAGAGACTATAAATGAAACAGAATCCATCCTGCTACTTTCTACTATTTGGAAAACAAAACAAACAAAAATCTAGTAACATCTTATAGCCTTCAAAGGACTTTATAGCAACAAACCCTTTCACACATATTTCTTAAACATGTGATATTATACAAAAGGTATTTTTGCTTATATCTCATGAGAAGCATTCATGAAACCACCCAATTCATGCTTTGAACTTGCCCTGAATATATTCCTGAAAAATAGTTTCTTCTAGCTATTTTAATAATTGTAAGTTTCCTTTGTGTGAGAAATGACTTATGCACCTTGCTATGCAGCTGTTACTTTTTTTTCTACCAAGAGGCCACTCACAGTTACCTACTCGCAAGACAAGTTTTGTACCTGAAAAAAAAAAAAGGGAAATTGCCATTTTGAAGATGATGTTTCACTCAACTAAAAATTCTTCTAATTTTCCTTATTTTAAAAACACATGTTTAAGAAGACATACATATAGTCAATAAGCACATGAAAAGATGCCCCAAATTGCTAATTGTCAAGAGAAATGCAAATCAAAACTAGAATAAGGTATCACTTCACATAGGTCAGAATGGCCATCATTAAGTTTATAAATTGGAAGAAAATCTCCTTAACATGAATGAGAGGTAAAATGAATAAATTAATACATGAAACTCTTCTGTAAGTTTAAAGTACTATATTTGTACATTTAGTGTGATAGACTCCGCTGTTTACCCATTCATCAACCATTCTCCCACATTTTTCTTGCTAACAAATTTGTTCAATGTCCCTGGCTCTAAGGATTGAATAGCTAAAGCTGATAATCAGGATCTCACCCACCTATGCCAAGGACTGCCCTGGAGAGGTGGCTATGAAATTCATCTTGTCAAAGAAATACATCGTATCTGATGTTACCTACTCTGGGAAATATTTTCCTCCATGTGTGAAGAAGCCCCCTCCACCATCTGCATTTCCTTCCTTTCAGCTTTGGACATTAGCAAGTGAAGATCTGATGCCTGGCATCTAGTGACTAACTGAAATAAATCAAGAACAAGAGCGAACATATTAAGGATGACGGAGCAGGAAAACTGGTAAGAAGGGGTCCCAAATGGTACTGATGAGACAGGTACTTTATTACTGATGTATATGCTTAGGATGTAATAATCTTGAGGCCTTCCTACAGGAAACATTGATTTCCTCTCCAGCACCAATCAAACCATGTTTGTTTGCCTACTTACACAGTGAGTGAAGAATGTACTACAGAAGGTCGTTGCTTATTTGCTTTTGAATATTAAAGATATAATTATAAAATAGAAACAGTCCACTTTTTAAAACTTCAAAACTATTAAAAGAAATACTGAAACTACCTTGTGAGGAAGCAAGCCTGCCTGAGGGAAATGCAATGATTAGAAGTCATAAGGGGTCTGTGTAATGAGGGGCTTCTGTGTACTGACAGACATCAGAAAAACTGAAAGACGCAATGTAGACTAAAGAATTTATGTGCCATCTATGAAACAGAAGATTATTAGTCATAATATATAATGGTTCCTTAACATTAATGTCAGAAAGGCAAATTACTTAATGCAAAATAATTCACAGAGGAGATAGAAGTGCCCAATAAACATATGAAAACAATACCATGACTCATTAGTACTAAAAATAAATTGAAGATAAAATAATATGAGATTTTGGAAAACTCATCAAAGTAAAACACATGCTATAGCATTGATATGATGCAGGACAAGTATTTCACATAGTTTGCTTGCAGTATAAATTGCTTCAGAAGTACAATTTGGCTACATCTACCAAAATCTGAAATGCAAACAACTCTTCACCTATTGTTTCTGTCATTTTTCTTTGAAGAAATTCTTCCGTTCTAAGTGGTTATGGTGAAGATGGTCAATCATGGTATTGGGTACACAGTACTACACATGCCAGGCTTCCCAGGTGGCTCAGTGGTAAAGAATCTGCCTGTGTGGGTTCACCCCTGGGTCCAGAAGATAGCAATCCACTCCACTATTCTTGCCAGAATAATCCCATGGACAGAGGAGACTGGTGGTTACAGTCCATGGGGTCACAAAGTGTCGGACATGACTGAGCATGCACACACTAGAGATGCCTCATTCCCTTTCTTGTTCTGCCAGAATTTAGGCACATAACAAAAATGAATATAAAGTCTGAGAATAAACGTCACACAGAACAAAGAAAATGAGAGATTCAGAGACATTAAAAAACTTGGAACTTGAATCTTTCCATATCTTAAACAGGTATACCTCAGAAACTTTCCTTCTATCAGACAATATTTTCCTTTGGGCTACTCAGTTCATTTTATTTGAATTACGGTCAGTTGCCTCTAAAAAAGGTATATTCAAATATTTTCACAGTTTCAAAACAAATTTTATACATTTTATGTTATATTATTATATCTTATATTTATATTTTATTATTTTATATATTATTTATATATTTGTATTACATTTATATTTATATCATATTATATCTTAAATTACATACACATAATTATAATAGAAAAAATCTGGAAACAATCTAAATGTCCATCTAAAGGAGGAGACTTGTTTAAGACACGATGGTTCATTCACATAATATTAAACGCGTACTAAAAATAATGAGATAGGCCAATATATCTTACAAGGACCATCTCCCACATGTACTGATACATAGAAAAGAGCTGCAGTAAAATATACATGTACCATATGACACCACTTAGCTTTTTTAAATGGTATATCCCTATATTGTATATCTGATAGAAAAGTACTAGAAAGATATAAGATGAACAGTTCACAGTTCTTACCTCTGAATTAAGAAGTAGGAATTCAGACAAATTTCTATTTTATTCTAAGTTTTGAAAATTCTATTTCATATATATGTTATGTAATAAAAATACTAAAGCATAAAAAGTTAGTTTTATCTTCAGAGAAAATAAGTGGTTAACATCAACTGAACTAGTGGTTTCTTTAAACTTAATATAATAGTGCATGTTTTATAAATAAAATTTTTATTTTATTCTAAGCTTTGAAAACTCTATTTCATATATATGTTATGTAATAAAAATACTAAGGCGTAAAAAGTTAGTTTTATCTTCAGAGAAAATAAGTGGTTAATATCAACTGAACTAGTGGTTTCTTTAAACTTAATATAGTAATGCATATTTTATAAGTAAAATTTCTATTTTATTCTAAGCTTTGAAAATTCTATTTCATATGTATGTTATGTAATAAAAATACTAAAGCATAAAAAGTTAGTTTTCTCTTCAGAGAAAATAAGTGGTTAACATCAGCTGAACTACTGGTTTCTTTAAACTTAATATAGTAATAAATGTTTTATCAAAAGACACATATAAGAAAGTTTCTACTTAATGGATTACTGCTAAACTCAACATAAAGTACTCTCAAAGAGTAAATCATACTTTTAAATCCTGATAGCTTTTATAATTATAAAGTGGTGACTATAGTATTTCTGATATCATTATTTATTTTTATTATAAAAGCTGTAAGTGAAGAATGATAGATGGTTTTATTGTAATCTAGTAATCAAAATCTCAATCTATTTATCTTAATATGAAATGTCTCAATTTTTAATTATTCACAGAGATGGCTCTCCTCTGTTTACTTATAAATCAGATTCAAAGTTGGTCCCACTGAATTTAAATTTCATTTAAGTAGGATTATTTTATCAGAGCAATTTGTTAAACAAAAAAAACCTCTGGATTAAGAAAGCACTGTTTTAAAATGAGAGAAGCACAACATTAAAATTTTGATTTTATAGAACATGATTTGGCCACTTATAAAGTATTTAAAAGTCAATGAAATTAAATATAAATAAAATCAAAGCAGTAAGATAATGCAAAGATGCAAAAGAAAAACAGTTATCTTTGAGCTGCTGATTCTAAATAAATTTCATAACAAAATCTACACTTGATACCAGTGTTCTAATTATTAATTCCACAAGTAAGTTCTTCCTTCACAAGTCTTTATGGAAAGCAAGAAAAATCAAGAAGAAGAAGAATACACAAATACAGTAGAATCCTACCTGAACACATGGATCACCCATGACTTATTTACATGACAAATCTTACCTTCTTTTTCTGCTGACATGTAGAGTCTTCATCTGCAGAAACTCTTACACATGAGCACGGGCATGCACACACACAAACACACATTAAATAAACTCATAGTTCCTAGGCTGATTTACTGAGCACTGTCAGGATAATGGCACTATGCTATACATATCTGAAACCTGAATTAGGGAAATCATAACTTGGAGTCTGAAGATGTTATTGCATATTTATATTTCTAAATTTTACTATATCACCATCCTATTATATAGACAAATAAATAAGGTTACAAAAATGCATGCAATTTTTTTTCACCCTGTACTGTGGTAGGGGGCAAAACTTAGCCATAACTGGAATTGAATCTCTTGATTGCTACTCCACGATTCAGTTTAGTTGATTATTCTGGAAATTAATGAATAAGAAAGTATTACCTCTAAGGCAGTACTAATTAAGTAGGGTTACTCTACCTCTGTATGCTTCATTTCATCTTCTAAAAATATCAACACACAGGCATCCTTTTATAGACATGGCATTTCATAAACTGGAGCTGCCCTCAAGCAGGGGTTCCCATCCCGGGCCAGGGACCACTAGGGGCCCACGGCATACTAGGTTCCAGGCCACGCCCCAGGTGAGCAATGGGTGAGCAAGTGAAGTCTCATCTGTACTCACAATCACTCACCATCACTCACATTGCCACCTGAGTTCTGCTTTCTGTCAGATCAGCGGGGACATTAGATTCTAATAAGAGTGCAAGCCCTACTGTGAACTGCACAAGTGAGGGATCTAGGTTATGCACTCCTTATGAGAATCACCCCAAAACCATCTCCCTTGCCCTATTCATGGAAAAATTGTCTTCCACAAAACCACCCCTGCTGCCAACAAGATTGGGGATCACTGCTGCCAAGTATAACCTATGACCAAGGGTTTCCTGATTTACACCATAGTCCCAACAGCAAGTCACTGCTTTTGAGCGGGCTCTTCAGTCTCTTCTGTTGCTGTGAGATTATGGTTTCTCCATGTGATAAGAGAAGGAAAACCGAAGACAATAAAGGATAAAAATGTCCAATTTGCATTTTACCAAGTCTCTTCCAATCAGTCTTAGATACCTGTCATTTGAAAACCATATGTGAGATCAATCCTACTAAGCTATAATGGCCATTTGAAGTTTTTTTTTGAAGAGATACTCAGTGTCATGAAGAATGAAGTCTAGTTCAAAATCTCAAAAAAAAAAAAAAAAAACACTGGCATATATGCCAGAAAGTATATAACATGTATATGAAAAAATTATTAAAATTCATCATAAATATGTAATTCATGACAATATGCATCTAGATCAAGAAAGAAACTAGCATATTAGAAAATTACAATAAATGTGCACCCTATTTTACCATGTTGACATAATCCTCAAGACTATTTATAGTTTTCTGCATTCTTTCAAAAGTCTTTTTTTCCCTTCAATACATATATATTATACTCTGCCAAGGAGTCTGAATTGATAACATATAAATATGTAAAAGATCTGTCATGTAGCTTATAAAAAAAAATTAGGCAGCCATAGGGCAGAGCATCAATTTTACATGTTTGAGATAATGAACAATTTAGAAGAACATATAAAATGAAATTAAGCTTCATCTAAAAATGTAAAGCATTAATGTGCTGAAGTACTCACTTTCCTCTTTGTTTTGAGCAGGCATTCTGAATTAAATAAAATGACCTATTTCACTCTATATTTTTGAAGTTTCACAGTGTTTCAGATAAAACTGTATACCATGTGCTTGCATTTTCTCCCTGGGACACATCTTTATCCCCCCTAAGGCATGGATGATAAATAAGAAGTTAAGTTTTACCAGCTGACATCTATCACATGTACCAAATTGTGAAAAAGTGAAATCAAATTTTCTTGAACTGAAGAACAGAGCAAAACATACTTTGACTGATCCCAAACCTTCATGTTGTGTCTTCATAAAAATACATAACTCCAAGAATAGCATTTCAAGCTACTTCCTAGGTTTTACT